TATGTAGTTGAATTAAACGTTCTGTTTTCTTCTGAAATATTTCTTTTCTTGGATCTATCTATGGTTGACCTACCAGGGATTGAAAAGCTCAATAAATTCCATGCCAGTGGGTGTCTCACGTTGGGAGCCACAGCAGAGGAGTGAAAGAGCCACATGCGGCTCCAGAGCCGCAGGTTGCTGACCCTGCTCTAAACCCATTGTTGTCTTGTGATCTCCATGTGAGGACCAATGGTATGGAGCATTTGTGGGTCATCTCAAGTCCTCCATTTACCCATAGAGGAATCACAACGAGTCCGTATAATTGCCAGCTCTTAACAGAGTTGGAAGGGACCTTGGAGGTCATCTAGTCCAATTCCTAACTCCAGCAGGAGAATCTATACTATTTCAGACAAATGGCTGTCCGGTCTCTTCTTGAAAGCCTCCAATGATGGGATATCCACAACATCTGAAGACAAACCATTCCTCTGGTTGGTTGTTTTGTTGTGGTTACCATCAATTCGCTATTTCTTCCCCTGAAGTCTGACAATGTTGGTTTGTCAATTCTGAGGGAAGCAGATTATCTTGACACGTTTCTGACTGGTTTGGCGGCAGTTTACAAAACTGTGTTTGCTTTGGCCAGCTTGTTCTTGACCTGGGAATGCTCAGACAGATGTTATTATGGGATCTTCATTGCCAGAGAGGATGGTTCACGGTATCGAAAGCTGCTGAGATATCAGGTAGAACTCATATGCGGATAACACTCTACAGGTAGTCCTCGACTTACGAGCACAAGTGAGCCCCATGTTTCTGTTGCTAAACAAGACAGTGCTTAAGTGAGTTTCTCCCCACAATTTTTCTTGCTGTGGTTGTTAAGTGAATCACTGCAGCTATTAAACCGGTAGCACGGTTGTTAAGTGAATCTGGCTTCCCCGTTGAATTTATTGACAGAAGATCACAAAAGGGGAATCACGTGACCCTGGGACACTGCAACCGTCACAAATGTGAACCCGTTGCCAAGGGCCCGAATTTTGATCACGTGACCATGGGGATGCTGCAATGGTCATAAGCAGGTGTGGTATTCACTTACCTTCGCTCCCAGTTCGCAAAAGCGCAAGTGCGCACGGGGGGAACTCGCTTCACTCGCATGCGCCACCTCCATGCATGCCCAGGGCCTTCCGCGCATGCCCAGAGCATCAAAAATGGGATGTGATGATGTCTGGATGAGTGGGCGGAGCTTCCCGCAGCTGCCGCTACCAGTTTGCCTGAAACGGATAGATCTGGCTGAATACCACCCACTGGTCATAAGTGTGAAAAATGGACATAATTAATTTTTTACAATGCTGTAACTTCGAACAGTGACTAAATGAATTGTTATAATTTGCGGTCTGCCTGTATTTCTGTACCAAGCGGTGCGTAAAAGTTTGGGATGTTTTGAACCTTCATTAGTTCTGCATAATTATGGCGGGAAGCATGCAAGTCCTTAAACCACCTGAAAGCTTCGTTTATTTCTCAATTAATAAAGTTGGGTTTTCACAGGAGTCATGTATGGCTGTGAGAGTTGGACCCTAAAGAAGGCTGAGCAGTGAACAACAGAGTTGGAAGGGACCTTAGAGGTCTTCTAGCCCAACCCCCTGCCCAAGCAGGAGACCTTATCATTTCAGACACATGGTTGTCCAATCTCTTCTTTAAAATCTCCAGTGATGGAGCATCCACAACTTCTGGAGGCAAGCTGTTCCACTGGTTAATTGTTCTCACGGTTAGGAAGTTTCTCCTGAGTTCCAGGTTGATTCTCTCCTTATTTAGTTTCCATCTGTTGCTTCTAATCTTGTCTTCAGGTGTTTTGGAAAATAGGTGGATCAGAACAGAACAATACGTTACCATAATGTAAACAAAGAGCTAAATCAAAGCCATCAAAGCAAGAAAGCCACATGAAGGGAGCTTCCAAATAAAATCAAAATGAAAGTAAAGATGCAAGCAAAAATAAAAAAATGAGGGAGAAATTAACAGAAATTAACAGCTTTTAAACATTGTCCTGAACACCATTATGAAGAGCAGTTTGATTTCAGGAGATTCATTTTTTGTATTTATTTATTTGATTTATATGCCGCCCTTCTCCGGAGACTCAGGGCGGCTTACAATGCGTTAAGCAACAGCCTTCATACTTTTGTATATTTTTACAAAGTCAGCTTATTGCCCCCACAAACTGGGTCCTCAATTTGCCTACCTTAGAAGGGATGGAAGGCTGAGTCAACCTTGAGCCTTGGCGAGATTCGAACTTACTAATTGCAGACAGCTGGAGTTAAATTACAATGCATTAGTCTGCTGAGCTATCCAGGCTCCTGTCTTCCAAGCATCCATGGGATCCCACCTTCTGGAAGTGTAGGATTCCTTCCTCTCTTTCTCTCTCCGTCTCTTACGCTCTCTCCCCTCCTCTCTCGTACTTTCTCCCTCTCTTTCTCTCTTTTTGGTAAACTGCCAAGATTCCAGTAGCTGGCAACAGACTAATTAGTCAAAGAAGAATGAGCTTGAGATAAGATGGGATTTAGAAGGAGGAGAAAATAGATAAGTAACTGGGTGTCACGAAGAAAAAGTCCTGAGTGGGTAGAAAAGGATTGATTAGGTCAGACGTAGAAGCAATTGAGCAATGGGAGAAGTCAGATAACACATAGAAGATAGAAGGGGTGAAGCAAACTGCCCAACTTAGCCAAAATTTAGGTTTGTGTGAGGGTGGGACGCAACAATTTCCAGGAAGAGAGAACAACAGGTAGAAGATTCAGATTCTCGGAAGAGAATGTTTGTTGCTGGGGGTTGAACTCGGAGTGGGTGGGTCCGTGACGTTCTCTGGGGCTATCCTTGTAGACCACTCAAAGGCAGTTGTAGCCTTGTAGACCACTCAAAAGGCAGTTGTAGCCTTGTAGACCACTCAAAGGCAGTTGTAGCCTTGTAGACCACTCAAAGGCAGTTGTAGCTTTGAGACCACTCAAAGGCAGAATGCAGTCCAGGTGGTCCTTCAACACAACTATTTGTTTAGTAACTGTTCTTGAGCTTGTTTGGAGGCTCCAGCAGAGGAGCGCAGCCCTTGACCAAAGATTGGTACGCTCCTTCTATCTGGGATGGTCATCCTCTTCCACCGAGTGCGCGGATTCAGGAGGGACGCACATGGAGTGGTGAGGGAGGAAGGGGACAACTGCCTAGCCAGCCACATCAGCCGAATCAACCCTGGCGATCAATGGGGTGACAGATGTCACAGCCAGATCGCCCTCACATCCATCACCAATGAGAAGGAGAAGATATCTCACATGTTTTATTGTACTCTGAGTTATACAGAGTATGTAGGGCAATATATATTCTCCCCTTACTAGAGAGATTGCCAGGGAGGACAGGCGATTTTGATGTAGGCTTTCTCCTCCAAGGCTCAAATCCGGCTACCAGTGGCAAAATTCTGTGTCGCTGCAATGAAAAAAACTGGTTACGGAATGATAGATGTCTATCAAATTGGATAGATGCCAATTTTTTGGAGATAGCTATAACGATTATTGGAGAAAAATATACTGCTTTCCTCTTGCTGTTTGTTCAGCATGGCAGAAAATTCTGGAGGTCCCACGAAGATGGAGTCCAAGTGAGAGTCAACAATGGTGATTTTATTTATTTATTCCATTTTCTGACTGCAGAACATCTTACATGTTCTGGGAGATCTTACATCTTACAGGAGAAATTAGTAACAGCTCAAAGTTACAATGGCTGTGAAAAAAAGTGATCGCTTTTCACACTTACGACCGTTGCAGCATCCCCAGAGTCATGTGATTTACATGCGGAGTGTCTCGGGGTCATGTGACCCCCTTTTGTGACCTTCTGACAAACAAAGTCCATGGAGAAACCAGATTCACTTAACAACCGTGTGACTAACAACCTAACTTAACTTAACTTAACAACCTCAGGGATTCAGTTAACCATCATGGCAAGAAAGGTCATACAATGGGGCAAAACTCACTTAACAAATGTTTCACTTAACAGCAGAAATTTTGGGCTCTGCAGTTGTTAAGTTAGTAACACGGTTGTTAAGTGAATGCAGTTTTGGTCATAAGTCACTTTTTTCAGTGCTGTTGTATCTTTGAACGGTCACTAAAATGAACTGTTGTAAGTTGAGGATTACCTGTAGTCCGTGGAACAGCTTGCCTCCAGAAGTTGTGGATGCTCCATCACTGGAGATTTTAAAGAAGAGATTGGACAACCATGTGTCTGAAATGATAAGGTCTCCTGCTTGGGCAGGGGGTTGGGCTAGAAGACCTCTAAGGTCCCTTCCAACTCTGTTGTTCACTGCTCAGCCTTCTTTAGGGTCCAACTCTCACAGCCATACATGACTCCTGGGAAAATCCAACTTTATAAAATGAGCAATAAATTAAGCTTTCAGGTGGTTTAAAGACTTGCATGCTCTGAGCCATAATTATGCAGAACTAATGAAGGTTCAAAATGTATTAAACTTTTAAGCACCGCTTGTTGGAAACCAGTTGGGTCTTGCTAATCTCAACCGAACTGGAAGAAAATTTGCTGACCCTGGCCCAGTGAAATCCTACAGCACGGTGTGGATCCCAGAACGGCGTTTCTCAACCTTACTCATTTTTAAAATGATAGGATCTTAATGCTGTTGAGGTTGAGAAACATTGCCCTCGAGCTGAAACTCTCCAAATCGCCAGAATTGAATTATGATGATCTGAGATGATTTGCGGAGAACTTGCCCGGTGAAGACCTCCACTCTAGAATCCGACTCTAGAATTTCTAGGATTGGAAGAACATCCTTTTTCTGCTTCTCCACTTGATGCTCAGATTTCAAAGACATCAAAACACCTCCAAGCAATCTGGAATGTTCCTCACAACTTCAATGACAGGAAAACCGCAACAGCTTGGATTACCTAACAGATGGAATTAGGCAGTCCCATGCTGAGCTACCATATGACTGGATGGTTTATAAATGCCAGTTGCCCTGTGCACCAGATCAGTTGATCTATCCTCGCACACCAGTGATGAAGCTGTGGGAGATGGTTCTTTGTGCTCTCCTGTCCACCCTCATTTCCCTCATCCTTGGTGGACTCTACAGAATCGGACTGTTTCGTCAGAAAAGACCGAAGGAGCCACCCTTGGACAAAGGTCTGATTCCATGGTTAGGTCATGGGTTAAGTTTTGGCAAACAACCTGTCCCGCTTCTGCAACAGATGAGGAAGAAACATGGAGATATCTTCACCATATTGGTTGGAGGCCAATATATCCATGTTTTGATGGATCCTCACACGTATGGATTTATCTTCAAGAAATCGAAAAGCAAGCTGGATTTTGGGGTCTTCGCCTCCAACGTCGTCTCAAAAGCATTTAATTTCCAACCGACCACCACTCATCATAAGATTGGGGAAGACGGCAGCAGGAAGTATCTCCGAGGTAAAAGTCTTCTTGCCCTCAACCAAAGTTTGATGCAGAATCTGAAGGAAATCTTGCTTGAATCAGCTGAGGAGAAGTGGCGCCAGGAGGGTCTCTGGCACTTCAGCTACAAAACCATATTCCAAGCTGCTTTCCTATCATTGTTTGGCACTGTGCCGGAGTTGACCTCTAACAGCAAAGAAAACACTAAGGAGAGAAGTTGTAAACCCTACGAGAAGCTCTTTGAGGACTTCCAGCAATTTGACGAATATTTTCCACAAATGATCCTCAACAGCATAGATTCCAAAACTAAGAAGGAGATCCAGAGACTGAAGAACTACTTCTGGGATCTCCTATCCGTCGAAAAGATAGACAAGAGGGAGGACATTAGCATCTGGTTGGCGGATCAGGATCAACAGCTGGCTGATGCTGGGATGAATGAGAAGATGAGGACTCAGGTCCAGCTCCTTTTTCTATGGGCTTCTCAAGCCAACACGGGTCCAGTGACTTTCTGGTTGCTTGCCTATCTTTTGAAACATCCAGAAGCCATGAAGGCAATAAGGGCAGAAATAGATCAAGTCCTAAAGGAGACCGGTCAAGAACAGAACCCAACAAACCTCTCGTTGCAGGCTATCAAGACTCCCTTGCTTGACAGTGCGGTAGAAGAAGCTCTCCGCTTGAAAGCGGGTTCTTTCGTATTTAGGAGCGTGATGGAGGACCTCAACCTCCAGATGGACGACGGAAAAGAATATGACCTTCGGAAAGGCGACCATCTTCTTCTCTTCCCTTTCCTGGGTCTCCACATGGATCCAGAAATCTACCCTGAGCCTGAAACCTTCAAGTATGACCGCTTCTTGAGCCCCGAGGGCAAAAGAAAAGAATTCTTCAAAAATGGCAAAAAGTTGAGAACTTGTATCTTGCCTTTCGGAGGTGGACCTTCGATGTGTCCCGGCCGCTTTTTTGCAGTCAGTGAAATTAAAATATTCACCATCCTGATGCTCACCTTCTTTGACATAGAGCTGGTCAACCCTGAAGAGGAACTGCCTTCCTCGATTGAACATCGCATTGTGATTGCAACGGCGCACCCAACACGCGACATTGATTTCAAATTTCGGCGACGACTCTAAAGTAACAAACTTGGGGTGTAAACCTAGACTTTGTAGCAGAAGGGGATTAAAAAGTAAGGTCGCCTCTGGATTTGTATTTGTATCCTACACAGGTAGTCTTGAGAAACGACTGTAACAGAGCCTGCCTGTTACAGTCGTTTGTCATAACAGTCGCAAAATGCATCAATCATGTAACGATCTGACTTTATGACCTTTTTATCAATGGGGGTTAAGTGTGTTTGCTCTGCGGACGGTTTTGCCGAAAACCAATAATAAGTGATGTTTTTTTTGGTAAAACTGTAGTAAATGTTGTCAGAATCCTACAAATGCCTCTAAATCCGGTAGTATTGCCTAGCACCCAAAATTTGCCCACATGGCCATGGAGGTGTCCCCACCATTGACACCTGGTCGTAAATCCCCTTTTTTGGGTCAGTTTTAAGTTCGAACTGTTGCTAAGTGACTGTTCGTAAGTGGACGACCACCTGTAAATGTGAACTTCCATAGATAGTAATTTTAGAAAGTCGGTCAGAGGACAGGTAAGGATAGGAGCCAAGGTAGATGCCTGAAGCTTAAAACATCAACTGAAGCAGGGGGGCTCATGGGAAAAAGGTCAAAAAAGTCAAGATGTCTGTCCCAAATATACAAAAAGAAAAGGGGGGGGGTTTTCAGGATTCCGGCTGCATAACTGAGGCCATTAACTTGATTTTTTTACCCCTTCCTACAGACACCTCCAAGCTAAAAGTATAGTTTCCCAATAATAAGGCGGTTCCGTTTATTTGTCAGGTGCAAATCAGTGCCAAAATGATATCAAAGAAAGCTTATATTTATAGTCAAGTTCAGAAAATGAAAACTTAAAGCAAAGATTGCAAGTAACAAAGTTTTGCCCCCTGCTTTTTTCCATCCGCTTGATAATCTAAAATGTTGGTAGATATAACCTTTCTCGTAGCCTTGAGTGAAATAGAAAAGGAGGGGAAAAATTCTCTTTAATCTGAACACATCCAATTCAAGAAAAATTAGGTTCTTGATGGGGCAATCAAGCATTTTGTTGTTGGTGGTGTAAATAAATATATATATATATTTACCAGACCAGATCAGACCAGAAAGCTAAAACCTCTACAGGAGAAATCCTCCATATGGAGGATTTCTCCTGTAGAGATTTTAGCTTTCTGGTCTGATCTGGTCTGATCACTTCATGAATATCAAGGAACAGCCAGACTATTATAAAAAAGCTTTGGACATCCTTGTCTGTTTTATTGCTTAATGCTATTTTAGAAAGAATGCAGCCAGGAAGGGAGTCCACTTGAAGTCCCTTAACTGCTAATAAACCAGGTTAGTTCTGTATTAGACCGGCATGGCAAGGTGTCAGAATATAAACAAGGCTGAGCAGAGTTTAGGAAATCTTTCAGAGAAAAATTGCCTATGGTGATGTAGCCTTCAACAAGGGAAGAACCTCAAACCTCAGAAAGACAATTGTCAGAACATCCAGCTGTGGTCATTGGGGGAAAAATAAAATCACCTGGTTTAAGGTATGATTTTTTTCCATTGGAATTTTTGCAAGAAACTGTGGGTTGTGATTTAGAGAACAGAAGTCAAGTTTTGTAGCTCAGGGATTAACTGTGGGCTCCTCAGTGCTCTCTGAGATTGGCAGTTTTCTTGCAAACATTTCATGACCCAACTAAGGAACATCATCAGTGCTAGAAGGGACTGGAGTTTGGGGAAAAGAGGAGAAGGAAGAGGAGGAAGAAGAGGAGAACAGTGGGGGTCCTTGATGTTGTCTGAGCTTGATTGTTTTCTTGCAGATGTTTCATGACCCAACTAGGAAATAACATCAGTGCTAGAAGAGAATGGGGTTTGTGGAGAGGATAATGAATGTGGGCTCCTTGGTGCTTTCTGAGTTTGGTGGTTTTCTCGTAGAGGTTTCATGATCCAACTACCCCAAAGGTGCTTTCTCAAGAGGCAACTGGACTTTCTGGTTTTTCTTTGAAGATATTTCGCTTCTCATCAAGAATTTCTCATCCAAGAAGTTTCTTTTTCTCATCCAAGAAGCTTCTTTTTCTCATCCAAGAAATTTCTTTTTCTCATCCATGAAGTTGACTAGGTAGCCAACTAGGTAACATCACCAATACTAGAAGCTAGAACCTCACTCCCTTCTTGCACTGATGATGTTACTTATTTGGGTTATGAAATGTCTCCAAGTCCAGAGAGCACCAAGGACCCGACACCCTTATTTCAGGATTTAGGAAATAAAAGTAAATTGTTGCAAAGATAGGTGGTCTTCAACGTACCACCACAACTGAGCCCCCAAAGCCTCTGTTGTTAAGTGAGACATTTGTTAAGTGACTTTTGACCCATTTCACGACCTTTTTTTGCCATAGTTGTTAAGTTAATTACTGCAGCTGATAACTTAGTAACCCAGTTGTTAAATGAATCTGACTTCCTACTGTTGACTTTCCTTGCCATAAGGTCACAAAAGGTGATCACACAACCTTGGCACCCAGTCATAAATATAAAATATGAATTTTGATCACATGATCAAAAGGATACTGCAAAGGTTGTAACTGTGAAAAACCATCATAAATCACCTTTTTTTCAGTCCCGTTGTAACTTTAAATGCTCACTAAATGAACTGTTGTAAGTCAACTATATTTTCTACCCTCCTGTTAAGAGATTTATATATCTTGTTGGCCCAAGCAAATATTATTTTAGTTTCAAAATGATTTTACGTGCCATACCCCACTATAAATTTTAATAAATCAGAATAAAACTTCTGTGTATTATATAAAGCAAAACCGCAGCTGGATATATGTTAATGTCTCTTTGATTATCTGTAAATGCCTTTTCATTTCTGCAGGCACTGTTTTTATATTTTGTGAGCTTTCCCTTGTATCATTCAGAATTTACATTTGCATTATTCTTTTCTTTCTTTCTTTCTTTCTTTCTTTCTTTCTTTCTTTCTTTCTTTCTTTCTTTCTCTCTCTCTCTCTCTCTCTTTCTCTCTCTCTCTCTTTCTTTCCTTTCTCTCTCTCTCTCTCTCTCTCTTTCTCTCTCTCTCTCTCTCTCTTTCTTTCTTTCTTTCTTTCTTTCTTTCTTTCTTTCTTTCTTTCTACTCACATTGCTCTGGAAATATCATCTCAGTTGATAAAAAGATTAGCATTCATCATATCATTTCCCTTCAAACAGAAAGACTGAAATATAAAATTTTGGCGTTTTGCATCTTGTTTTGCTCAAGCAAATCCATTGATAATAAAGCACAGCGAAAATGTAATTATTATCATTTAATCGTCTTAAACAATGAGGGATACAGGTGGTCTCAACTTATAACAATTGAGCCCAAAATTTCCATTGCTAAGCAAACCAGTTAACTGAGTTTTCCTCCACCTTTCTTGCCACAGTTGCCAAACAAATCACTGCAGTTGTTAGTGAATCATGTGGTTGTTAAGCGAATCTGGCTCCCTCCACTTTTCCTTGTCTGAAAATGGCTGGGAAGGTTAGAAATGAGGTTAGCAATAGCAATTGGATTTATATACTGCTTCACAGTGCTTTCTAGCCCCCTCTAAGCGGTTTACAGAGTCAGCCTATTGCCCCCAATGATCGGGTTCTTCATTTTACCCACCTCAGAAGGATGGAAGGCTGAGTCAACCTTGAGCCTGGTGAGATTCAATCTGCCAAACTGCTGGCAGCCGGCAGGCAGCAGAAGCAGCCTGCAGTACTGCACTCTAACCACTGCGCCATGCGGCTCATGTGATCCTGGGACTGTGCAACCATCACAAGTACAAGCCAGTTGACAAGTGCTTGAATTTTGATCACGTGGCCACGGAGATGCTGCAACCATCCTAAGTGTGAAAACTGCCAGAAGTCAATTTTCAGTGCTGTTGTAACTTCAATTTATCACTAAACGAATAGTTGTAATGGGGTTTTTTTATACATTCATTAATCATTTTACAAGGTTCTAACACCCCATATTTTGTGAATCTTCTCATGTTAATATTGTACTGGTTAGGATGTTATCTACGGCATACGCTTTGTAACCCTTCTAAAATAAACCAGATTAAAAGAAACATAGATACCTGTAACACTTACTATACAAAGGTGATTTTGAATATTATTACAAAAAAGATGTTGAGACTTTGGGAAAAAGTGCAGAGAAGAGCAACTACGATGATTAAAGGTTAAAAACATATAAAGAACAGTTGCAGGATTTGGGTTTGGCCAGTCTAGAGAAAAAGGGACTAGGGGGACATGACAGCTGTATGCCAATATTGGAGGGGCTGCCATAGAGAAGTGGGGGGGTCAATCTATTCTCCAAAGCACCAGAGAGCAGGACAAGAAATAATGGATGGAAACTAATCAAGGAAAGAAGCAACCTAGAACTAAGGAGAAATTTCCTGACAGTAAATAGAATAGAATAGAATTCTTTATTGGCCAAGTGTGATTGGACACACAAAGAGTTTGTCTTTGGTGCATACGCTCTCAGTGTACATAAAAGAAAAGATACGTTCGTCAAGAATCATAAGGTACAACACTTAATGATAGTCATGGGGTACAAATGATACAAGCAACAAAATTACAGTCATACAGTCATAAGTGGAAAGAGATGGATGGTGGGAAGACAATTAACCAGCAGAACAGCTTGCCTTCAAAAGTTGTAGGTGTTTCATCACTGGTGGTTTTTAAGAAGACTGGACAGCCATCTCTCTGGAATGCTAGGGTCTCCTGCTTGAACAGGGGGTTGGACTAGAAGACCTCTAAGGTTTCTTCCACCTCTATTCTGATTAATTGATTGATTCCTGCGAAGTTCCGGATTATATGTCACTTTGCTCTCATATTATTCTGGCTCTTTAAGAGTTTAATTTTCTAATTTCAGAGCATCTGTTTGATCTCTCTGTATTCATGCACTGAGATCTGGGTAACCAGAGGTGGGTTTCAGCAGATTTTGACCAGTTCTGGAGAACCGGTAGTGGAAATTTTGAGTAGTTCGGACAACTGGTAAATACCACCTCTGACTGGCCCCGCCCCCATCTATTCTCTGCCTCCCAAGTCCCAGCTGATCAGGAGGAAATGGGGATTTTGCAGTATCCTTCCCC